ATATATATATATATATATATATATTTTTTTTTTTCTGAGTTGACTGTGTTCAATCCGTATTTGAAAGGGTGAATATATATTATTTAAATAACAACGTATTGGAAAAAAATATGTTAAAGTGATATTTGCTTGGTACTGAAGGTTAAAACTATAGCAGATAATTGTAACAGTTCAAGAAATTTGTTAATGCGAGCCAAAGGTGTTTTCTTTTTTAAAGACGGACTAGAGCTTTGACTGCCCATCCAGTTGGAATTCAACGAATTTTCTGGGGTGTCTCTCTCATTGCTAGGTGGTGTGTATGTCATGCAGGACCCAGGAGGATATTCAGAATCGCTAACGAGAGGGATATCCTGATAGTCCTCGGTTCTTTTTGCTTCTGAGTTCATACAAGGTACTCTCAACATCTTGTGTTCTTCTCTGTCTCTGTAGTCAGATACAGTGATTCCCCAACTGTGCGCAGCGGCGCCTCGGGGAGCCGCGACCTCTTTACAGAATTGTAGAAAGCGGGCAGCAACTAATAACAGTTTGGGAAACACTGGTCAGACAGACAAAATGCGGTAATTCTCAGTCGCTTCTCTCTCAAGCCTGAGAGTATATGGTGTGTCTGTGTGCATGTTTTGTGTCCGTGAGTACGTCTATGTATTAGTGTTCTGTCTTTGCGTGTGTGTTTATCTGTGTCTGTGTGTATGTGTTGTGTGTGTGTGTGTATACTTTGTGTGTGTGTATTGCGTCAGTGAGTGTTGTGTTGTATGTGCATATTTTTGCAATGTGTAAGTTTTGTGTCTATCTGTGCTGTATCTGTGAGTGGTGTTTGTGTTGAGAGTCTGTGTGTATGTATTGTGTCTGTGTCTGTTGGTTGTGTTTATGTGTATGTGATGTGTCTGTAAGAATACGAATGCCTGTGTATGTTGGTTAGGTCGCGTTGTATGTGTGTATGTTATGTCAGTGTGTGTATTGTGTTGATCTGTCCTGGGAAAGTAAAGACAGCTTTTGACCACTGTGTATATGTAAAAATATGGGTGCTCTGTGTGCGCCTATGGGCTATATCTTTACTTTTTTTTAATATGTGTTGGGTCTGTGTGTATGTGATATATCTGCGTGTTTTTTATTCCTATTGTATGCGTAGATTATTGTGTGGGTGTTCTTTTGATAGTGTAAAAGTCTGTTTATGGTGGGTGTGTGCCATCAGTGTGTGGGTCCCTGTGTGTGTGATTGTGTTGTGTATGTGTGTGTGCTGTGTGTATCTGCACTGTGTAAGTATTTTTGCATGTCTATTTTAAGGTATGCATTTGTAATACATGCGTTTGTATTTGTTCTTCGCATTCATACTATGTATTTTGATATATGAACATAGTATGTTTGTTATATAAAAAATGATTGCCGTATGAAAGAGTAATGCTTGGAAGGACCGAATGTAAGATGTCCCTGTGTGCCCAGTTTGTAACCCTTTGGAAATGAAGTCGGTGCGTTCATTCCATGCTCCTTTGACGCCTATTTAACATTAACAGTAGAATCGCGGTGTTTTCTTTCTTTCTTGCAGATCTGAACTTTCCATACGATAGTGTTATACAGTAGTCCAAGAGCGTGAACAACCAAGATAAGAGACAGCAAGTTTTGGGGACCAAATGCAACCAGACGTCGCTTAGTGCAGCAAAGCCTGGCATATGATATAACGTCTGGTTTGGACAAGGAGGTGGAGTCAGTCACTGCGGCCTTCCGCTGGCCTGAAAATCATCTATACACACATGTCGTAATTATAACTGAGTTACAGAGCATGTTAAGAAACGTGGAGACAGGCATACTCCGTGCAGAGTGGCAAGCATCAAACGCTTCTCAGATTCCTGGTAGTTGGTGTCCTTTTTATATTCTCTCCTGGTAATGTAGGTGTGTTCGGAATCGAGCAGGCATATAGACTGGCTGGTTCAGCACCACTTAATGTTAACTGATGTGTGACAAGTTAGATGTTGTAAGTGCCGTTTGGGAGCGAATGAACAATAAAGAGGCACAAATAGATCATTACGGTTTCAGGAAAAGGGCTGCTACAGGTGCACTATTGAAAACATTTTTGGAGGTTGAATGAGGTATCTCGGATCTACCTTGTTGCCAGAATACCGGAGGGGACAAACAGATCGATCGAACGATTGAGGGTACGGGGGCTCAGGTTCCAATGCCCTTGGCTATCAGGTACTACAAGTCTATGAAACTCAATTAAAAAACAGGTTCTCCATAGAATGTCGCTCTGGCCACGTCACACCTGGAAATCCCTCTCTCTGTAGCTAGTTTTCCAGTAATGATTGTTTCCAGTACCAATGGATCTTCGATGTCCTGTATCCACATTCGTGACGGTTGGCCTCGTTTTCTGCACTCTCCGTCTCTGTTCTGCCCAGAGCACCATGTCGCTTTATATGTCCATAATACTTCAGCTTTCGGGACAGGATGCTGTTTATGAGCCAGTTCTCCTCGAAGTTAAGGTATGCAGGAAACTACCATGAGCAAATTTTATGGGTGACCCCTGAATCAAGCCGGAAGTGACAGATTTTTTGGTTTCCTCGATCACAATAGATAAACAAAAAACGAAAACAACACGAACAACACAAAGACTATACAACTTTCATAGATGTTTATTTGCAGATACATTTTATTGTTTGAGGATATCTATTGCTTCTGTGGATAGTTATTTAAACAATAACATCCTGTTTACAGTTGACTTCTACCTTATTCTACGAGACAGTTCCTTTAAGTCTTTTTAATTAAATTAACAATAGTTAGTATTTATTAGATACAGAAACGTGGACAATGAACAAGCAACCAGAATATCGAATTGAGTCTTCGGAGATGTGGGTATAAAGAAAACTGCCGTATTTCATGGAAATAAAAACAGTCCAAAGAGATGTTCTGCAAGGGCTACAAATTTAAAGAGAAATAATGAGGGAAAAAAAAGGGGGGGGGGGGGGCAGAGACAAGTGAAATACTCTCGCACATAAAAAAGACAATTCACTTTTGGACAAGTGGGAGGACAACATCTAGAGAAGGACGGGCAGCAGTCTGAGAGAGTGTGCAACCAGAAAAAATGAAAGAGCATGTTAAAGATCCATCGCAGCCAACCTTCACTGTGGAGACGGCACCTAATTGATGATGAGTTATCTTCTTCTTCTTCTTTTCTCTACTCCTAGAATGCCTCGCGGCGCCAGGGAAGGAAAAGATTTCTAGAACGGACCCTTCTGTTCGCTTCTGTGGTCAATGTTATGCGAGGTCGACCTCTGAGCCTGTTAAAATGCTATCTGTATAACATTCCTCTCTGTAGGGCCCTGTCTGCTGCCAGTCTTGTTACATGACCAAACCATTTGATTTGTTATCTACCTTTAAAGTTTATTATGCGTTCTGTGCCGATTCTCCTCCTGATATCATCGTTGAGTGATGCACTAATCATTTTCGCACGTTTACCATATATTCATAATTAATATAAAAATAGTCACATATACGAATAAGATTATGTTTGAAATGAAGCGAATAGGAAATAAAGACAAGAACCTACGACTTGCCAGCGTGTCCAGTTTTAAAACTATGGGGACATTATTTTTTAACTGCATCCTACCAGACATGTCGTAGGAGGCGACTATGGGTAGGTTTTGGCTACTTTTGGCTGTATAAACAATGGCCACAAAAATAAAAAATAAAAAACCCAGTCCACCCAGACGGGGTTTGTTTGAGGGAACATGGGGAGATAGCAATAGCGAACGACTTGACGTGAGTTTACTTAGGGCCTAGGCTCCATTAAGGGAGATAGAAAGCAGAAGAAGAAGAAGAAGAAGAAGAAGAAGAAGAAGAAGAAGAAGAAGAAGAAGAAGAAGAAGAAGAAGAAGAAGAAGAAGAAGAAGAAGAAGAAGAAGAAGAAGAAGAAGAAGAAGAAGAAGAAGAAGAAGAAGAAGAAGAAGAAGAAGAAGAAGAAGAAGAAGAAGAAGAAGAAGAAGAAGAAGAAGAAGAAGAAGAAGAAGAAGAAGAAGAAGAAGAAGAAGAAGAAGAAGAAGAAGAAGAAGAAGAAGAAGAAGAAGAAGAAGAAGAAGAAGAAGAAGAAGAAGAAGAAGAAGAAGGTGAAGAAGAAGAAGAAGAAGAAGAAGAAGAAGAAGAAGAAGAAGAAGAAGAAGAAGAAGAAGAAGAAGAAGAAGAAGAAGAAGAAGAAGAAGAAGAAGAAGAAGAAGAAGAAGAAGAAGAAGAAGAAGAAGAAGAAGAAGAAGAAGAAGAAGAAGAAGAAGAAGAAGAAGAAGAAGAAGAAGAAGAAGAAGAAGAAGAAGAAGAAGAAGAAGAAGAAGAAGAAGAAGAAGAAGAAGAAGAAGAAGAAGAAGAAGAAGAAAAAGAAGACAAAGAAGAAGAAGTAGAAGAATAAGAACAAGAAGAACAAGAAGAACAAGAAGAACAAGAAGAACAAGAAGAACAAGAAGAACAAGAAGAACAAGAAATGAAAGAACAAGAACAAGAAAAAAAAACAGAATAAGAAAAGAATGGATTTTGCATAAAAACATTTAATATGCAGTTTCTTTCTGTGAGAGAAGTGCCGAAACAAGGCGGAATATCCTAGGTAGTATATGTACAGAGCACGTGTACCGGAATTAGGGGAGGGAGCACTCATTGCGAAACCTTGAACTACACAGTTAGAGAGAATGAGGTTAAAAGAAGGGAAGGAATTGGCGTCAGCTGCATGCCATAGCAATCTAAAGGTCGACTTGGCGTGAGTGAGTTGGTAGAGCACCTATGCTCAGCTAGGAAATCATTGTTAAAGTGGATCTGCCCAATGTAAAATTTATTATAAAAACATTTAAACGGTTGCAAAGTAAAAATAAAAAAATAAAAAAAAATACGAAAATAAAGTACACCGATTTAAAAACGTCATTAGAAAATGAATCATAATACATATAAATCCCATACTTAGAAAAAATAGTTTTCCTGTGTTTCCAAAAACATGAATCAAAACTTTAGTTAACTGATAGCCTGATTATTATATCTTAAACATCAAATATTGTCATAGAAGCGTACACGACAAGAAGACTAGACACAAGGGCTGAAAGAAGTAGAACAGGCAGACCTGCAACCTGTAAAATCATTGGCTTACAGCCGCCATTCTTTTCCTGTGTTCTAATATCTCCTTGGTACAAATAACCTGTTTCGTTAACAAACACTTTCCAAACCCTTATATAGGGATTGCCGTCGTCGATCATACCAACAGTTCTGTTAAAATCTGGCAGACGGTTAGAGACAAACCAAAGCCAGCCCTCTTGGTCAAAACCAAAAGTGTCTGGCCATTGCATCTTTACATCGTCCTTCACTAACTGCAGCTGCGTCTTCATAATAACTTGGTCAAGGGGTAACTTTTGCTCCGCCACGTCCTGTTCAATGTCCCAGTAGTAAAGAGCATTGAGTGCCGAGGCCCCATAGTATAATCGCTTGCTGCCATGGGTTAACCCTCCAGTTTGGGATACCCTAGTCCCTACACGTCTGATGCCTGTCTTATCCGTCCCTTTCCTTAAAGTAGCCGTGGGGACCTGGTACAATCCAAACGCTGCCACAGCTGAATAGTAAACGTACTTAAAATCTGGGGACATTGCGATGCCGTTCATGGGAAATGGAAAACTATAGTCTGTGCCGTTGATGGTAATGATAGATGCATTACCTTCTTCAGCTTTCATGGACTGGTCTTCAAGCTTGTATCCATGACGTGTTTGGAAGTCGTAGACAAGGAGACTGCCCTCATTAGCTTCTGTAACGTAAGCATACCTGACGCTCCCATTGACGTAATCTAGCACTATATCATTCAAGTAGTTGGTTGTCCGGTTAACCACATCTGCTGGCATTATATATCTATTTAATTCATTATCAGTATTCAAGTCATATACGATAATTTTAGCTGGACACAAATTTAAAGTATTTCCCACTCGGCCGGTGTCTATGACGTACATATGGCCCTTGTTAGAATCTATCTCCATGCTTTGTGAGAACTGAATTGATTCACAATTTCCTTGCTTCTGGGCAGCCCAGTTCGGGTAGGGTCTCAGGAGCGTGCGGTTGTTCACAGTCACAATTTTGGCCAGCGTTGCTGGATGACCATTTGGCCAGAACCAGCGTGGGATGGTCACGTAAACCTCGCCCTTGTAGACCTGTAAGAATACACAAATATTACAGTTACATAAACATTTATGATATAGAGTCTATCTTGTTATATGCACGGGGGGGGGGGGGGGGGGGGGGGGGGGGGGGGGTCAGTGGAGTAATGGTCAAATTGTCTGTCTCGCGCCCTGAAGATCGTGGGTTCATTTCGTGGACGCCTGTTGTGGCGGGCAGACGTGCCATCGATCATGCTGACATTCTAAATGCACTACGAAAAGTAAGACGTTTGCGAGAAGCAAGAGAGTCTGCAACAATGGCCAGACTAACAACATGTTAAAAGGGCAGGAAGCCAAAAAAGAATAAGAAACCAACACAGAACTGGTGTCGTGAGCCGCTACACGCTGCGGGATTTACTGAGGAGGAGATCCGAGCCTTATGGGCTGAATGATTCCGATTTGCAATGAGGATAATCTGTCGACTAACTAACTAGCTAAATAAATAACTAACTGCAGTCGACTCTTCTCGGCTCACTACTCGGTGTGCCTTCCCTGGTCGTGAACAGCCAGTTTGTCACAGAAGTCTCGCCGTTTTGAAACTTCCTGCACAATGAATACATTTTATGAACTGATATGCAAACATCACCATACTAGACCTTCACTTCTTCTTTAGTCAAAAAAAAAAAAAAAAAAACGGCAACAGAATGTTGCTCCTCTTTGGTATATATCAAACGTAGGACGGCCATCTTCAAACTGTCATTATGACGTCGCCGTGTTTGTCTGCACCGTTATATCGCATGCTTAACACTCTTGACATCCTTAACATCAATATTGACAGGTTACAAGACAAAGGCATGGTTACTGTAATTGCTGTCACATTTTAAAGGTTTTCACTAGTAGCCCTTTGTTTCAAGAAGTAGAGATGACCCGAGGTCTGTTGACCACATCATCCATCGGAGTACTAGTTTAACTGAAAATATGACTTAGCAGCATATCGCGGATGCGCCTAGAACTACATTTTTCGGTCACTCCTACAACCCTTCTCTGACATCTCATGTCCATAGTTATTAATTTTCTTGTCTGGCTTGTTGTGAGTGACCATGTTTGGATCTGGTAGCACAGAGTTAGAATAAATATTCGTTTTATGAGATGATTCTTTGGGATGATTTGGGAATGCCTTTAAACAATAACATAAGAGGGATTTAAATGGTATAATAGAATCAGTAATGATGAGCTTTGGGAGAGAACTAAACAAGTCCCAGTGGACCAAGAGGTGAAGCAAAGACGCTGGCGTTGGATGGGACACTCAGTGAGAAAATCTGAGACTAATATAACTAGAATGTCTTTGTATTGGAACCCACAAAGGCATAGAAATAAAGAAAGACTAAAAATCATGCAATAGCGAATGATAGAATGACTTGTAGTGAGTCGGTTGAGGGCGTACCCTCCACTGGGAGCTAGAACGACAGAAAAATGCGTGGAAAGATAACTAACATGCACCTTGTCAGGCGGCTAAATATATATCTATTCACTATGCAACAAAATAGAAGATTTTAACACGGAAATTGGTGGAGGTAGAAAGAGGAAGAGGACACAGAGGCCCATTCGGCAAAGGAAATAGAAACGAGAGAGATAGATAGACAGAGAGAGAGAGAGAGAGAGAGAGAGAGAGAGAGAGAGAGAGAGAGAGAGAGAGAGAGTATCGAATTCTGTTAAGAAAAAAATATGTCTGTTACCAACACACTATTTAAGCAACATCCAAGAAGGATCTACACCTGGACTTCACAGAATGGAAATAGCGGGAACCAGAGTGATTATATTTGAACACAATAAACATGGAGAACATGTATAACATCTTTAAAGATGTGGAACTGACTGTGACACTGATCGTAAACTTCTTGCTGCAGAAAAAAAAAAAAAAAAAAAAAGGAAAAATGTTGAAATGGGTAAATTCAATATGTTTTTATTTCGGTAAAAAGCATTGATGTTAAAAACAATTTTAGAGGCACTGTCACGTAGTCAGCAAAACATGCTGACTAATTCAGTCCATAACCTGTACCCCTCTATGCTAATTACCCAACTTAAAAAATGGTAGGATACAGCATTAATAAATAGGTCTTAGTTCATATGTATGGGTCTGGGTATACTAAATTGAAGCATATTTAACCCTAATCCACATGGAATTAGTTGTATTCTGTATATACTCACAGGTAAGTAATATTGTCTTGGGTGGATGCAATTTTTCATGGCCGAACCACCGCCTGTATTGGCGGAAGGACTTTTTGGAAATATAGCCTCATTGTTGATACGACTTTCAAATTAAGAGGAGGTGCTGATAATCTTCTGTCATTGTTTTCAAATATTATATTGAGAGAAGCCCTTATCCCATCAACTAATCTCAATACTGTTTTGGTATGTTGTACTTAAATTAATGTATGTTGAGTCTTTTTCTCAAAAGTATACTGAAAATAAAGGCGCAATTTCAATGACATAGTGCACCTTCACTTTGATAGAGGATACCCCCTTTTTTACAGCAACACTACTCATTTGGATGAATATATCCTCTTTAAATAAAAATGCCCATTTATAACTTATCTGGCGAGGGGTGGGGATAAACCTCAGACTGTTGTATTCCTGTCTCGAAGTGACGGAAAAGATATAAATTGCTTCGTCAATGAAAACCCGCGTCAATTTTTAAGTTAACGATTGCCTTCTACAGTGCCAGGGAAATGTAAAAATGGGTGGCTGGAGTTAGAGGAAAGGAGACAAATATTTGCCTGTGTGTGTTCCTTCTACTTTATTACTGTGTTCTGTGTTCGCCTGATGTCCTAAAGGCATCCTTTAATGGACAGATAACAGTCAGTCGTATTAAAATCATTGGCATGTGCAGTTTCGACTTACATTAGTGAGAGAACTTGTTCATCGCAAATTTCACTGCTATCAGCTCTACAGTTTATGCGCGAGTCTTTAGGACACTCACTATTAAGTCTAGCTCTTCCCTGTGACTGCTAGTCACTGTCCTCTGAGCACCTAAAACTAAGTCGTGTGTGAGATAGAACAAGAGATGTTTCTGGTTGTCATTTCATTCTCAGAATGTGAGGTAGATGTTTCTGGTTGTCATTTCATTCTCAGAATGTGAGGTAGATGTTTCTGGTTGTCATTTCATTCTCAGAATGTGAGGAAGACGTTTCTGATTGTCATTTCATTCTCAGAATGTGAGGTAGACGTTTCTGATTGTCATTTCATTCTCAGAATATGAGGTAGACGTTTCTGATTGTCATTTCATTCTCAGAATGGGAGGTAGATGTTTCTGATTGTCATTTCATTTTTAGAATGGGAGGTATTGAGGAACCTGACAGTACTGGCTTGCATGGGTGTCAAATCAGAATCATAGACAACATATTTTAACAGAGCAGTGTCACCACCCAGCCTACCAATATCAAGGTGCCTTTCAGTATCATGCTTTGTTCAACCTTTCAGCTGCCTTGAAACCATGTTTCCATATCAGCAATGTCCTGATGAAATCGTTCATCATGTTCATGCTCATCACTGACAGCTCTACAGTTAGACGTAAAAAAAAATCCAGATGAGAATGAAGAAATTAAAATTTCAAAGACATGTTGCAGCCAAGACTCTCATACTTTCTCATAGTAATTATCAGATTTGTCGTTTCCAAGCAAATTGTCCACTACTGACTTAATTGCTAACCATGCCGCCGTTTCTTTGCCATGCAACAAATATTCCTTTTCCTATTTTAACTTCATTCAATCTTGTAAATTTTCTGATGAGACATTTAAAAGCATCATCTGTTTTCTCCATGGGGCCTTGACAACGTTTGTCATGAGACCAAACTTAATGTGCAATGGTGGCAACAAAATCTAGCAGGTATCTACAAGTGCGGGGATTTTCGACGCACTTACTGCCTGGCTACAATAACCGCCTGATTGGCCAATGTCTTCTGATGTAATAGTTATGTCGTACACGGTTATCCTATTCACAGAGAAAGCAGCAGTACTTGGCATATCCACGCTGTAGTCCAAACAAAAGATCTTACTATTTTTTAAATCGTCGCAAAGTGATCAATGATGATCTTCGTCTTCTTCTTCGCGTTCACCAGCTGTACACTCTGGTGGAAAGTTCTGGTTGCTCGTCCACTACTGAACTGCAGCCCTGCTTCAGAACCTGAGTGTTGCGTGTGCATCAGTTTTACAGATCTCATTCTCTTGAATACAGATTGTTGGTTCCTTGCCTCTCCGGCAGATACACTCCGACTTTAAAGGAAGCTCCCCAATTAGTCAACTCTTACAACATGCTTTTTGGGGAGGCAGTGGGTCTATTCTTGTTTTCCACACAATGGGGCCCCGGAACCCACACGGGGGATCAATGATGATGATCTAGTTTCTTTAATAAATAGCAACGCAGACTGTTTGACATAAATCAAAGGGATGATGGCCAAAGCAATGCAAAGATTAAATAGCATTACACGTCTCTAGTCAAGCACAAGCAGAGAAATCAAAATTTAAATTTTAAGAGCATGCATCTTCCTTGTAGCAACGTACGGATGTGAGTCGTGGATTATCTCATTGTCCTCAAGAAACAAAATATGGGCTTCTGAGCTGAAATGCTATAGACAGATTCTCGAAAAAAAAAAAAAAAAAAAAAAACACACGACTGCTGCCATTTTAAAACAAGGAAGTTCGGCTAACGAGCGTGTTGTTTCAGAGGCTAAAACAGCTTAGTTATATCAAGCGCAATAAGGCAGTGGAAAAAATAATAGCAGAAGGCATGGCAACATAAAGAAGGGGAAGGGGCCGACCACCAAGAAGATGAGCACTTGCTATAAGTGACCTCTTGAATGTGAAAGTACTTAAGGCGGAAGATCTGGTGAGGGACTGAGTTTCTTACAGACAGACCGTAGAGAGAGCTACGTTATACAAAGTACCTGCTACATGAGGATAATGAACACAAGGTTTTCAAAAATATACGTACTTTTATTCCCGCCAGCAAATTTCGTTCCGGAACATAAGTGTTATTTTTGATGGATTCCTCCTTGTCGGCTTGTGAAGGCCACTCAAATTCCAGATTTGACCATTCGTGGACAAGAACAGACTGACCAAAAGTCTGGCCTCGTGTAAGCGCGATGAGCAGTGTGGGCATGAGCAGGAGAATCTTTGTCTTTTGTTTGAACATCATGATGTCTGTCGTGTTTTAAAAAAAAAAGTTTTTTTTTTTTTTCTTCAAATAAAAAAAGCTTTTTATTTTGTACAATACATACAACAAACAATGCATACATTATTGTAAATTTAATTGACACAAAAGACTACACACTTCACTTTACACAATTCATTTATTGTTTTATATCATGACTGGTAATCTGGTAAAATCATGACTGGTAATCTGGTAATATCATGACTGGTAATCTGGCAATATCATGACTGGTAATCTGGTAATATCATGACTGGTAATCTGGTAATATCATGACTGGTAATCTGGTAATATCATGACTGGTAATCTGGTAATATCATGACTGGTAATCTGGCAATATCATGACTGGTAATCTGATAATATCATGACTGGTAATCTGGTAATATCATGACTGGTAATCTGGTAATATCATGACTGGTAATCTGATAATATCATGACTGGTAATCTGGTAATATCATGACTGGTAATCTGGTAATATCATGACTGGTAATCTGGTAATATCATGACTGGTAATCTGGTAATATCATGACTGGTAATCTGGTAATATCATGACTGGTAATCTGGTAATATCATGACTGGTAATCTGGTAATATCATGACTAATGAAAGCGTTGGATGCTCTTGACGTTGGTTTTCGTGTGGCCTTTGACAAGTTTACTGCCAGTCATTCATGATACAAACTCTTTCCCCCACTCTATGATATCAAACCACCTAAATTTTATTGGGTCTTGATATCCACTGAACACTGGATACTCTTCTACCAAAAAAAAAAAAAAAAACATACAGCCGCTTTAAACTTTCTGAAGGCAGCCGAAGTTACCAACAGGCTCTGGTTATATTTGTGGTCTGGATTTTTTGCGCCAATTTCATGGCTAAATTTGGTTTTATTTTCCTGTCTTCACAGCCAGAACCACGAGTAATGGACACAGGATACCATACACATACACACACACACACACAAACACACAAATACACAACCAGTTCTCCACTCTTTTTCTTCCCGTGTAATTGACTATTGTCACGACAAACTTCAGTTTCCCTCTTCTCATGGTGGGTCACAGGAATGTGAGTTTTCTTCTCCCACATCTCCCAGCCCTGTTTGGAGGTTATTTTATTTCACATCTTCACAAAACATTTAGAGAAAAAAAAATAGAGCTTTACTAATATACATTATACGACTGTCCTTACCACCTCTATTTACCTCTTTTAGAGCGGTTCATGCCAGCACTGTGCTACCAGTACCAAATTTACCTCTTTCAGAGTGGCTCACACCAGCACTGGGCTACCAGTACTAAATCTACCTCTTTCAGAGCGGCTCATACCAGCACTGTGCTATAAGTGCCAAATTGACCTCTTTCAGAGCGGTCAATACCAGCACTTTGCTACCAGTACCAAATTTGGATACAATCAAAGGTTTATCAACGTGAAAATAACATTTGTGAAATGAGATGCATGAGGAAAGCAGCCATCTTAACCATCCGGGACAAATAGAACAACGATTCTGTCATACGTACCGTGGGAACAACACTATGCACCAATTTTATCGAAAAACAAAAGATCAGATGGTTCGGTCATTTCATCAGAATGCCTCAAGGTACCAGCAAAGGCTCTACACATGAGCCTCATAGCCTCACAGCCTAGTGCTCTAGTCACTCGTTAAAAACAATACAGTATGCAATAATCTATCCCCGGAAATCGTTCTATTGAATAGTATTCATACATTCTTTACAATTTCTCTTAAAGAATATATCATTTAAATTCAACCATTATTATACATTATGTTCTCTATAGAAATAAATGTAAAATAGCTTATAAAATAAGATATCATGAGAGCTTATTTACCTGCGATAGGGCTCTGAAAAAGATCGTTTTCCCACAACTTCGGGCTATAGAAATATGATGCTGAATTGCTATTTTTATAGGGATATAACCGGAAACGTTTTGACAGGTTAACTAGACTAGCAAACCTACCGTCTTGAGTTGGGAAAGCTACAGGTTCTGAGAATGTTTTTTTTTTTTTTTTTTATTAAGTTCTTAAAACTGAACTTTAATAACATCCTGATCAATGTTTGTGTATGCCATAATTACTCATAAATGCCTCACTGACGAACAAAGGCCGTCTTATGCTTATCGACCTGACACTTGACGGCGATAAACAACTGCTTGCAGATTAGAAGGTGAGGAAAAGACGCTGACGCTGGATAGGGCAAACATGAAAAAAAAAATTACTGTAAGTATTGTAACTAGGGTCCGTTTTTTTGGAGTTCATGGAACTACGAGAGAATGAGAGAATGTTGGGGTGATAGAGAGGGGAGAAGTGAGAGATTTAGAGAAAGAGGGGTGATAGAGAGGGGAGAAGTGAGAGAATGAGAGAAAGAGGGATTGATAGAGAGGGGAGAAGTGAGAGAATGAGAGAAAGAGGGGTGATAGAGAGGGAGAAGTGAGAGATTGAGAGAAAGAGGGGGGATAGAGAGGGGAGAAAGAGAGAAAGATGGGGTGATAGGGGAGAAGTGAGACAATGAGAGAAAGAGGGGGGATAGAGAGGGGAGAAGTGAGAGAATGAGAGAAAGAGGGGGTGATAGAGAGGAGAGAAGTGAGAGAATGAGAGAAAGAGGGGTGATAGAGAGGGAGAAGTGAGAGATTGAGAGAAAGAGGGGGGATAGAGAGGGGAGAAAGAGAGAAAGATGGGGTGATAGAGAGGGGAGAAGTGAGAGAATGAGAGAAAGAGGGGGGATAGAGAGGGGAGAAGTGAGAGAATGAGAGAAAGAGGGGATGATAGAGAAGGGAGAAGTGAGAGAATGAGAGAAAGAGGGGGTGATAGAGAGGGGAGAAGTGAGAGAATGAGAGGAAGAGGGGGTGATAGGGGAAAAGTGAGAGAATAGAGAAAGAGTAGAAAAAGAGGTGGGGGGGGGAGATGCGGGAGGGAAGATGGAGATAGTAATAGAGGGAAATAAATAGAAAAAAAGAAGAGAAAGGGAGAGAGAAAGGGTGAGAGAGAACTGTAGACTGAAATAACACGTTTATCGGCATGACACTTGATGACGAAAAACAACTGTAAGCAGGTTTTGAGGTGAGGAAAAGATACCGACGCTGGATAGGACACGCATTAAAAAATAATTGTAAATACTGCAGCTAGAGTATCTGTTTTCTGGAACTCAGTGGGTGAAGACAGAAAGAGAGAAATGGATGTGAGAAAGAGGGGAGGTGGACAGCGAAAAAAGAGAGAGGGTAAGAATAAAATATTGAGAAAGGGGAGGAAGGGTTGGTATAGAGAGGAAGAAAGAGGGAGATAGAAAGGGACAGGGAGGGTGACAGAGAAACCACTAGGAAATGTTAATTAGAGTGAAGGGATACCAATATGGGAAGAGTATGAAGGAAAGTCATAGAAAAAGGAACAGATATAAGGCTTTGCCGTAGGTTGATTCCATAATTCCATACACTGGAAAACAAAAATTTAAGGATAACACGAAAGAAAGAAGGAAAGAATGAATGAAAGAAAGAAAGAAAGAAAGAAAGAAAGAAAGAAAGAAAGAAAGAAAGAAAGAAAGAAAGAAAGAAAGAAAGAAAGAAAGAAAGAAAGAAAGAAAGAAAGAAAGAAAGAAAGAAAGAAAGAAAGAAAGAAAGAAAGAAAGAAAGAAAGAAAGAAAGAAAGAAAGAAAGAAAGAAAAAGAAAGAAATAAAGAAAGAAAGAACAACAAGAAAACATAAGAAGGAACAAAGAAGAAGAAGATGATAATGATAATTCTGACGATGATGATGATTATGATGATGATAATAATGATGATAATGAAGATGATGATGATGAAGATGATGAAAATGGTGATGAAAAGGGAGATTTTCTGTGTTGTTTCAAAGTGTATTCTCATCTAAAGACCGGCTCGTTCAACAGGAGTCTCCAAAAAGGCTAACCCGGTCAACAAATGCCCACAAAAGACTGATGTGTTGGCCGAGAGACGCAAATATAAACGGGCACAACGCAATGACATCTTCGGATGAATGCAAGAAGAAGAAGAAGAAGAAGAAGAACAGTAGTCTCCCAAGTAATTATAGACATGTCTACTTCCTCTGTCGGCTCTGTGGCTAAGTCGATGCGAAGGCTGCGTAATGCCGGGTTCAATCCCAGCTGCGGGCCATGCGCCTTGTGTTGGTTTCGGCAGTGGTATCAAGAAAGCAATGGCAAACTACTGGACGTAAATTTGCCTAAAAGAACCACACAACAGCCAGGGGCTGTTGAGGTTGGTTCTGCGACGTCCTGTAAAGGATAGGCAACTAACCTACTTCCTCTAATCACTATCGAAACACACATTCGTGAAATAACACTTCAACATTTATTAATCACAAACTTATAGTTGATCACCAATTAGGGGAAGTTGCCGTGGCGGAGCGGCTAGACGTTCGCCGCGGATCGGAAGGTCGTGGTTCGCTTTCTGGCGAAGCCGGATTTTTTTGAAAAATGGCCTTGGCTCCCAGGTCGAGCCAGCCTTGAGTGGGTACCGGGTGCAGTCCCGGGAAGTAGAGGCGGCCGGCATAGTGCTGACCACATCACCCATCTTGTGCCGATTGGTCTATAAAATGTAGGTCCAGCCCTATATGCCCTATACGCCTAAAGGCGTGGACAAGGGTCCTTTACTTGACTTACCAATTAGGGTTTCGACCAAATTTCTTCTTGCCATACAGCCTTAACAAACATGATAGAAAACTGGCATCAGAATATTAACGGAGGTGCCATCTGTAGAGGAGTGTTTATAGACTTCAGAAAAGCCTTTTTCTTCCCTTTTCTTTTAACCAATCTGCGACTCTCTCTCTCTCTCTCTCTCTCTCTCTCTCTCTCTCTCTCTCTCTCTCTCTCTCTGTGTGTGTGTGTGTACGTGTGTGTGTACATGTTTTTGAACCGCAGTTGGACGTCATTCTCTTAAGATGTCACTCGCGCATGCAGCACTTGCTTTTTTGTTTGTGTATGTGTGTTTCTTTTGACTTTTCTTTTTACCA